AAATTCCTTATCGTTATGAGAGAAAATCTGGTTGTGTTGTTGCTAATCCAGCTGATGATTCTCTCCAGTGTCCTCAGTGCTTATTTTTAACATTAATGTAGATTGCAAAGATGTGTTATGTTACAAGATTAACAAATCCAGCTTTGATGATGATTTGTCTGAAGTAAACTAAAAAAGGCAGCTCCAAAAACACGATTTTTTTCTGAAAACAAATTAAAAAACTAGTAGGAAAAAAAACATCCATGAGCAAAGTTGTCAAAGGTCCATTTTAAAATGTCTTTAACCTCATTTGGGGGCCGAGAAGGTATAGAGGTAGGGTAGTCAACCTGGGACCAGAAAGCCACAGGATCAACTCCCCGCCATGCTCGCATGTCGTGGTGTCCTTGAGCAAGACACCTAATTCCCCACTGCTCCCTGGGTGTCTACATAGCTGCCCATTGCTCCACCTGGGTGTATCTCGTGTGATGGGTTAAATGCAGAGAACTAATTTTGCCATTGTATGGGAAAATACAATGATGCCAACACATAGCACTTATCTCTAACAAATATTGGATGGTAAATGGGATAACACTCAAGGCAACAAATCCAATAAATCTATCGTGCAAGTTTTGGGACAGTGACAGGGAGGAAACTGGAGTATCTGGTAAAAACTGACATGTTCTCTTAATCATGTCTGACACATGATTAAGAGAACATGCACACTCCACCCAGAGAGACTCATCTGTGATTGGAACATAATCTTGGAAGGTGATAGTGTTAACTGCCATGCCAATGTGCAATGTGTGTAACAATCAAAGATCCTCTAAAATGTCTAATAAAGTTGCATTTTGTACAAGCTTTCATCGAAGTTCAAGATATTTATCAAACAACCACCATTATTCTCTCTTTGAACAGGTAAGGCAACTGCAGGAGAATGCTGCCCAGTTGAGGACAATCTATGCTGGTGAGAAAGCTGAGGCCATTATGGTCAAGGAACACGAAGTGATGGAGGCATGGAAGGAACTGCTGAGATCTTGTGAAGCCAGTCATATCCAGGTGACTTCTGTAACCGACAAGGTGCAGTTCTTCTCTGTGGTGCGAGAAAACTTAATGTGGATGGAAGGCATCATGGGCCAAATAAGATGGGACGAGCCGAGGTAAGTCTAGTTACCCTGTGTACCTTCTTTTGTCATGAGATAAGCAAAACATGCAGTGTAAATGCAAAACTGCACATTCTTGACCTGAATGACTCTGTGTTCTTGTGTGGACTGAAGGATAGTTGTGCAGAAAAACAGACAAACTAGATCTAATTTTATGATTTCCATTATCCATTTTTTATTAAAGGCATTTACTTATATACCTTTAAATGTATTGTTTATTAAAGGTAATAGGATACAAAATTCACAGCATGATCTCTTCCTCAAACTGGCTCTAATATGAATAGTGCTTTGAAAAAGTATTCATACTCCTTGAATTTTTCCACATTTTATCTCATTAAAGTTTGAGGCGTTAATGCCATCTGATTCTGATCTTATTTGACGTTACGTTTGGACTTTTTAGACATTTACTGTAAAAATTGGTTTTGTGCTCTGTAGAAGTTATGACTTACATACCATATATAACCATTCTCATGGAAATTAATTGGTCCATCCATCCTCAGGGATTTGACAGCTCTGGAAGTGATGATGAAACAACACCAGGAACTAAAAGCCAAAATAGATGGTCGCAGCAAGACCATCCAACAGTGTGCAGATCTTGGCAAGATTCTGATAGCTGCAGGCAACACTGCATCAGAGGAGGTCAGATAACAAACTGCACAGTTTGCCCTACACACATCAAATAAGACACATCCTGAATTTCACACTCTTAAGTTTTTCAGACACCTCAAAATATTGTGTTCATTTCTAAAATCTACTTGTCACAACAGATAAAGGAGAAGTTGGACTGTCTTTTGACTAAGCAAAGGGATCTAGTGGAAAAATGGGACAAGCACCAGGAAAGGTTGCAGTGTAGTAAGTAATTACATAAAACTGATGCGCTAATGTACACAATACTCAGTTGATATGCAAAATACAAATTTAATGCTGCCTATCCTGTAATTCTGAGCTGACGTCACACTTACATCTTAATGCTGACTGTATAAAACTGACATCCCAGTTATAATCCAACACATCAATAGGGCCCCATGGAATTAATTGCATTTTTCCCAAAAAAAAATTCTGAATTGTATTTTTTATGATATAATCATATTTTTTTTAAATAAAGTGTCCAAATATACAGTATAGGCAGCCACAAACAGGTGCTACAGAAGCCTGCAGCAACCAAAATGGTCTCTTTCACGGTGAATGTCAAATGTGAAAAACACTCACAGTAGATTGTTAATAAAAATACATTTAATAAAATGTGATTTTTCACATTTTATAGTAAATTCCATTTTTTGTCTTCAAGTCCATATTACAGAAATTATAGGGCCCTGTATAATAAAAAAACGTTCCTCATAAAACATGAACAAATGTGTAACTACGCACCAGAATAAAATCTGGTGTGATGGTAAACATGTGTGTGTATGATCACTTCCAGAACAAGAAAAATTCCAGTTTGCTCAGGAGACAGTAAAGGCAGAGGCCTGGCTAAAAGCCAAGGAGCCACTTATCTCATCCAAGCAAGAGGGAGAAGAGGCCCATGCCCAAACTGATGAGGTTGAGCAACTCATACTTCGCCATGAGGCCTTCCGCAAGGCTGCTGTAACGTGGAAAGAACGCTTCAGCTCCCTTCGCCAGCTTTCCGCAGTAAGCTTTAATGTAGATAAAAATTCAATCAGTGTGATGGAGTCACGATTGAATGCTGCTTTAGAAAAAACTGACCATGGAATGTTGTGTTTGCTTAGCAGACGTTTGCACATGCCACCATTTGCATTATTTTTAGCTTAAATCAGACTTACAAATATCGCATGTGGTATACCCTCAGTCTGCTTTTCATGCAACATTGTTTATTATTTACTAAAACATACAAACTGAAAAGTTCCTAATTATTTGTTATACTCAAGGGCATCAGAAGCATCCGTAATGTGGGGGGGACACATTGATGTGTGTGTGTGTGTGTGTGTGTGTGTGTGTGCGTGCGCGCGCATATGTGCGCGTGTGTGCGCGCATGCGCGCATTTTAAAAAATGTGTTCACTACTATACAAAAAAGCAACATTTCTCCTAGATTTCCTTTAATTCCACACATTTAAAACCTGTTTCTCACCAAGTTTGTGTAAATTCATCTGTGGGTTAAAGTAATTTTATCTTTAATACACTTTAACACAGAGCGTCAGGTCGACACTATTTGTCTTTATAGAGAAATAAAAACCATCACTAGACTTTTTAACTTGTGTTCAACACTCCTCATGTAAAGGATGTTTGTCATGAAGCTTGAGGACAATAAGGTGTGGGGGTTTAAACACATTTCAACTTTAATGCACCTGAACACACAGAGTCTCTTACACCTGCAGCGTCTCACAGTTACTGCTGAGATAAGATGCTACAGACGTAGCTCCTCTTCTCTCCTCCTAACATGAATATATGTTGATGATCAACCCCCTGGTCAACAACTGCCCGCACTAAGCTGCTAAACTGGCGAGCGAGGTCGGTCCATCTCCTCCACCTGTGCGCGTTTTCTGCCAAAGCAGAAGGAGACGCACAGAAACACTGCAGGTGTTACACTATATTCTGTGACCACTATATATTGTGACCGTGGCTTCGAGGTAATCAGGAAAACCTGGAGTGGAGTTTTAGTGGTTTGATTATTCTCCTATTAATCAAGTGGAATGGATTTGTTCACGAAGAAAGAGAAACTGCACCGCTTGAACTAATGATCCATAGTAAATGTGGGGGGGTCCAAATGAACGTTTTTGGAATGTGGGGGGGACTTGTCCCCTTCACATATAATGGTTGCGATGCCTATGGTTATACTACTACTTTTTGGACCATCACCTTGTATGTTTTAACTTAATTTATGTTAATTTACAAATGTGTTTTAACTATTTCTATAGGCTGAGAAGAAACAAGAGGAGGACAAAAAGACAACTCCGCTTTCTAGTCGAAGGATGTTCCCGTTATCTTGTCTGACTCCCAGTGTTCCTTCGAGCAGTGCTACCTCTTCTTTCTTGAGGCATTCAATACCAGTTCATGTGAAACACAAACCTTTACAAACCAGCTTGGATTTGGGTGCCTGTTCCTCAACCCAGAGATTAACAACAACACTAGCTAGCTATAACACAGTTTTAAATGGATCAGGCTACCATGGACCAGATCAACAAGCAGGAAAGTTGATAAGCACCACATACTTAGGTGTGAACCAACAGACAACTGGAGCTGACTCTGGTTTCTCTGCATCCCAGAGTGGTGGAGCAGACATTTCTACTTACCATGGGGTAAATCACCAAACAGCTGGTAGTGCAGAGAGTTCTGGATACTATGGAGTGACCACTGGCTGTGTAGGTGGTATGCAAAATCATCTATCTGGTGGTAAGTTAGGAAGTTCAGGAAACATCACTCAGCAGCCAAGCAGTGGAAGTCTAGGAAGCCCTGGCTTTCTGACTCAACAAAATATGGGCAGTTCTGGATATTTGGCACAACCACAAAATTTTGGAAGTTCTGTTTATTTGGGACAGCACCCTAATATGGGAAGCTCTGGGTATTTGGCACAACAGCCTAATATGGGAAGCTCTGGGTATTTGGCACAACAGCCTAATATGGGAAGCTCTGGGTATTTGGCACAACAGCCTAATATGGGGAGCTCTGGGTATTTGGCACAACAGGCTAATATGGGGAGCTCTGGGTATTTGGCACAACAGCCTAATATGGGGAGCTCTGGACACCTGGCACAGAATTATCAGGGCAGTGGTGGATTAGGAAGCTCAAGCTATTTGGCACAAAATCATTACAGCAGTGGAAGTTTAGGCAGCTCTGGTTACCTGGTTCAGAGTGGAGGCATCATGGACCCTAAGATGGCATATGCATGGCAGCACCTGAAAGCTGACTTCATGCAGCCCAAGATCAATCACATACACAAAGCTATAAACCCTCTTCTGGAGGCTAGCAGATTGCAGCGAGAACAGTTTGGGGATATTCCAATGGCAGATATGATGGGGCCAGAGTCAGGACTGGAACTTCTTCATGGCCGTCTCCAGAGGGATCCCCGTGGTAGTCGTTCTGATCCACAGATGGACCATCTGAGGCGAGAGCGAGAATATAAACTGGGAAGACAGACCTCCAGTGAACAGGAAATCCAAGCCCGGCTGAATGAGCTGCCACTAATAGTGCGGCAGGAGCGTTACCGGAGGCGCATCGAGAGGCAGTCATCCAGTGAACAAGAGGGCAGCAACAAGCAGAGGCTACAGAGACAGGATTCGAGTGACCTAGAGGGCTCTGTTAAAGATGGCTCTGACAAACGCTCAGGGTATGTAAAATAGGGCTGCTGCTTGCATTTTTTTTTAAACCAATTAAATTGGCTTGACAATTAATTTAGTGGGCACAGTGGGATTTTTAAAGGTTTCATGGTAACTGTTTTATATGTTTGGATGACTTACATCTGTTTCTCTTACAGGGAGAAGAGATCCACCATGGCAGAGATTGTGGAACAGGTCCAGGAGAGAGAGGCAGCACATGTGAGACATATTTGATACACTTTCTCACTGTGTTGTCAATGTTTTGTCACTGATTGATGTAACATTTTCTTTTGTTCTGGTTGACCTTGCTAGGCACGTGGAGAGCCTTATCGTCCTCCTAGCAGTCTCTCAGCACCCGTGACTCGTTCTGATGGACGCCCTCGAGCTCGAGACCGTCCTAAACCTAGGAGGCGTCCCCGTCCAAAAGAACCTGAGGGAACTCGCCGTTCTCGCTCAGCCCCAGCTACTGGTGCCCCAACAACACCCCAGCCACCTTCTCACACAGCTCAAAATGAAGGATTCCTCTACCGTAAAAAGGCCACCAGCACTGACCTTGAAGCTCAACAGAGGAGCCCCAACAGGTACATTAATCTTTCATAATAAAATATTTATTTTCTTTTTATTTATTTTTTATTTAGACAGGTAATCTCTCATTGAAACAGATAGTGTCATTTACGATAGAGACCTGTAGTACAGGCACAGAACATTAGTAACATAAAACAACAATACCATCATTGCATAAGCTCTACAGTGACTGGTCTGAATGACTATCGGCCGGTAGCTCTCACCCCGATAGTCGCTAAATGCATTGAAAAACTGGTCATGACCCACATCAAAGTTAACATCAACATCAACGAGGACCCTCATCAGTACGCATACCGCAAGACTCGATCTACAGAAGACACCATCTCCTCTGTGGTCCACACTGCTCTCACCCACCTGGAGCAGAAGGACTCCTACGTCCATATGCTCTTTGTGGACTTCACATCTGCCTTCAACACCAAGATCCCCCAAACCCTGATGGACAAACTACTCACACCAGGACTAAGTCCCTCTCTATGCAACTGGGTCCTAGACTTCTTAACCAACAGACCACAGTCTGTGAGGATCCACAACTTCTCCTCCTCTACCATAACCCTCAGCACGGACTCCCTCCAGGCCTGTGTGTTGAGCCCTCTCCTGTTCACTCTGCTATTGTATGACTGTGCACCGACCCATCCAGGCTGTCATATTGTAAAGTTTGTAGATGACACAGCAGTGGTTGGATGCATCAAAAATAATGATGAGTCCAGCTACAGACAGGAGGTGGAACATTTGGGGCCTGCTGGTGCAGGAAGAACAAGCTCCACATCAATGTGAAGAAGACAAAGGAGATGGTTGTGGACTTCAGATGGAATAAACACACCTACCCCCCCAACATAGAAGGATCTGCGGTGGAAGTGGTCTCTAGCTACACATACTTGGGTGTGCACCTGAATGACAACCTCAGCTGGTGAAACAAAACTTCCAGCCTGATCAAGAAAGATCATCAGAGACTCTACTTCCTCAGGCAGCTGAGACGAGCTGGTCTGGAAGCTCAGTCCTCACCTCCTTCTACAGGTGTGCAGTGGAGAGCATCCTGTGCTCCAGCATCAACGTGTGGCATGGAGGCTGCACAGCTGCAGAAAGAAAAGCTTTGCAGAGAGTGGTGAAGGCTGCACAGAAGATGTTGGAGTCAACCTCCCCACCATCACAGACATCTACACCTCCAGATGCAGAAAGAGGGCCACCTGCATCATGAAGGACCCCACTCACCCAGCACACACACTTTGTGTCCCACTCCCGTCAGGAAGGAAGTTGAGGAGCATTAAGTGTAGAACCACTAGACTGAGGAACAGCTTCTACCCTGAGACTGTTAGACTCATGAATCTCTAACCAGAATAGTCACTGTGAAAATAACATCATGTTGCTGTCTAAAAAAGTTAAATCCGGTCCTCTGAACATTCAAAAAACAAAACAAAGCAAAACAAAAAAAAATGAAGAAACGTTTCGTCTTCCACCCGAAAGAATTCCTTAGTCTGAGGAGCTGTATTCAGCTCAGTCTTTTAAATAGTACCTTCTCAGAGTGGATCAACCAGTTTTGCTGCTGACAACCAAAACCAGCTTCTCAAATGCTCAAGAAGGACCATCAGCCTAGCAATGGATCATTAGCACACTGATGGCTGTTTACTATTCACAGGGGGCTGAGTGATACTAGCAATAACAGCATTGTAAGGCCCTATTTACACGGACACGATGGGGCAAAAAGTAGTTTTTTTCGTATGTTAATTAGAGGAAAAGATCCGCGTTGACACGGACGGATTTTGTATTTACAAGCATCCGCAGGAATCCCACCCCCCACCCTCCCGAATCCACTGTAGTTACCATGCCAGGTCATTAGATGGCACTGTGAATTTTGTACCTTCACCTAATGCGCATGTGGCATGCGCCTTTCCTGTGAGCTAAAAAGCTCAGCTAACAACATCTTAACAAGTTAAAGCTGGATTTTGGATAAGAGTCGACAGATTTGATGCCAAGCGAGACCGTTTCGTCTAACAGCTCCACACCGGTCACTGAGTGGACCAGAACCGAGTCGATGATGTCGGACTTTACTCCGTGATAATCAGTAGCTGATTTACAACTGCAGGTAAATCAAATGTTCTTAATAATGTTTGCTTGTGTTTTCTTCGGTTACAAAACAACCAACTGAGTTTTTATTTTTATTTTTTCCTGAAAGAAGAAGAAGCTGTGCTTCCACCAGGCGGTCCGGTTCTGAACGAGGCTCAGCCCAGGTGCAGTGCAGGAGGACGTCGAAGAGAGAGATGTTGGAAGAACTATTTATTTAAAATTCCTCTCAGTTGTTTTATTCGATCCATTCAATGCTTTAAGCTGCATTAATCAAAAGAGTGACAGGCTGAACGAGTCTTGCGACATCCAGGATGAAAACAAGAGTCCAGTTCATTCATGCAGTTTACTGTTAACTTGTTTTTAATAGTGTGTTCAGTTTAATTATCAGTATTTGTGTGACATACAGTTTGTGGTGTTGAATAAATAAATAAAAATTAAACCTTATGTCTTCATTTTCAACTTCAGTGTTCACGCTATATGTTTAGCATCATTTTAAATTTGAATCACATAATGTCCAGATAGCTTCATTTAGCTCAGAGCTTCATTATCTCTCATAAATACAGTTTATTATTATTAAACTGTTATTATTTAGCACATTTAGTATGTTCTAGTGCAGCACGACGTGTGCGCGTGCCTCGTTCTATAAACAGCGACATTAGAACTGGATCTGACTGTGTCTCTTCCAACACAGATGTTGGTCACAGCAGCTGAAATCTGATGTAGATTAACTATGAGATTAAAAATATATTCCATCAGTCGTAGGTCTGAAAGCAGTGTATCCGCCGCCATGTTGATAGAAATATAGCGTCTGTCCGCACGTGCGTGTGCGCATGTGGTTTAACACAAAGCCTCAGCGGGAGATGTTTACATTATCAGCGGGCGGTCAGAGAAAAACCTCCACTCTGGAAGGTGGGTTCAGAAACCTCCAGATTCAAAGAGGGGGGCCACTGGTGTCCTGTAAATGATCAGCAGAACCGCAGAGAGGAAGCTGCAGATGCACTCAAAATACACGCCGTGTAAACGGCCCCTGAGAAGGGGACAGTTGAACCCGGAGGCCTCCACCCCTGTTTAATGATGGACGATTTCTTTTCACAAAGATGGCCTCCTTTACTCCTCTCTCAAACCATCGTTACTCTCTATCCAGGATGTGAACATCTTCATCCCTGAAAGAGTGACCGCTGGCCTGGAGATGAGTGTAGACCACAGAGTCTTGGCCTGATGTTGTTGCTCTTCTGTGCTGGGCCATCCTTTTGGCCAGTGGCTGTTTAGTTTCCCCGATGTAAGACTGATCACAGCCCTCCTGACACTGAGCAGCATACACAATATTACTCTGTTTGTGCCGGGGGACTGGATCTTTGGGATGAACCAATCTTTGCCATAATGTATTTTGGGGTTTAAAAGCCACTGGGATGTTGTGTTTAGAAAATAAACGTCTCAGTTTCTCTGATACTCCCTCAACATACGGAATGACCACTGGTCTGGGTCTGGGTTCCTCCTTTTCACCTGATGGCTGACTGGAGTCCTGTTTGGGTTTCTTCTCTGCTTTCAAGAAGGCCCAGTTAGGATATCCACATTGCTCTAGAGCCTGTCTTGTGTGGGATTTCTCCTTCTGCCTGGCTCCTGAGTTAGTGGGGACGCTGTCTGCTCTGTGGTACAGAGTCCTGATGACTCCTAACTTGTGCTCCAAAGGGTGATGGGAGTCAAACTGCAAATACTGGTCTGTGTGGGTGGGTTTGCAGTACACCTCAGTTTGCCAATGTCCTCTATCAGAGACTGAGACCTCACAGTCCAAGAAAGCCAACCTGCCATTTTTTTCATCTTCTCGTGTGAACTTGATGTATTTATCCACAGAGTTGATGTGGTCAGTAAAATGTTGGACTTCCTGGGATTTAATTTTAACCCTGGTGTCATCAACATACCTGAACCAATGACTTGGTGGTGTCCCTGAAAAGGACGTCAAGGCTCTCTTTTCTACCTCCTCCATGTACAGGTTGGCAACAATAGGAGAAACTGGAGACCCCATAGCACACCCATGTTTCTGCCTATAATATTGCTCCCCATGTGTGAAGTAGGTTGACTGCAGGCATAGTTTCAAGAGTTGACACAGTTGTTCTGTGGAAAGTGTGGTCCTGCTGCTCAGAGTGGTGTCTGATTTTAATCTTAAACTGACCACTACTACTGCATCATCAACAGGAATGCACGTAAAGAGTGATGTGACGTCAAAAGAGACCATTGTTTCATCAGTCTCCATGAAGACATCCCTCACCTTATCCACAAAGTCCATGGTGTTCTGTATGTGATGTTCTGAGCTGCCAACTAAAGGGATGAGTACAGATGCCAGATATTTGGAAATATTGTAAGTGGCAGAGTTAATCATGCTAACAATTGGTTTTAAAGGTTCACCTTGTTTGTGGATTTTAGGTAAACCATACAGACTAGATGTGGCCTCCCCTGGGTATAGTCTGTGTTACAGAAAACGGTCAGTAGCTTTGTCCTGTTCCAAAATTTTCAGGCAATCTATCGACTTCTTGTACCCACTTCCTGGATCTCTTTTCAGAGGTGCATAAGTGTTTAAGTCACTAATGAGTGTCATAGCTTTCTCTTGATAGTCTTTCTGGTTCAAAATCACTGTGCACCTTCCTTTGTCTGCTGGGATAATTATGATGTTTTTGTCCTTGCTAAGAGTGGTGAGTACGTCCCTTTCCTCTCTACTGATGTTAGAAGGTGGTGATTTGGCATTGCTGAGGCAGGCTGAAACTTTGATTCTGAGTTGTTCTGCTTCACCCGCTTTAATTTTGATGTTGCGGATGGCTGATTCTGTGGCTGTGATCATCTTCACCAGAGGAATTCTACTTGGTGCAACCGCAAAGTTCAGTCCCCTGGCAAGAATCTCTGTCTTCGGCTGGGTGAGCTGTCTGTCAGATAAATTCTTCACCCACTTTTCTGTCTCACTGGCATGTAATTGTCAATTGACACGACCACCTCCAGTAATCTGAGAGAAAGGTGGGTGGTCATAGAAGACCTATTTAATGAATATATACTTCTCCCTGGGCTGATTGACTTCCCTGGCATGGAGGAGCCAGAGTGCTGCAGGAGAAGCACAGGTTGGAGCCACTCCTCCAACCATCTGTTGTCTTAACCTCCACGAGTCTTAGTCCTCCACCAGTCTCGAATTACCCGGCTGCATAACCAGTCCCGGACTCCCCGGCTGCAGAACTAGTCCCGGACTCCCAGGCCACAGAGCCTATTTCTAAAGGAAGATCTGAGCCCAGAAAGAGTTCAAGCCTCCTCTTGATTCTGGCTCACACTGCCCTCACCACAGGAGCGGTCATAGGAATAAAAGCCCAGACCCTCTCTACTTGAAATTCTCCCCACACATCCAGAAGAGCAGTGGAGATTTTCAATGGGGGGGGGGGGGTACCTGATCCTCTGCTCACCTGAAGGACGAGCAGGCTCAGAGTCCCCAGTTCTAGAGTCCCCAGTTCCAGAGTCTCCAGTTCCAGAGTCCCCAGTTCCATATTCCCCAGAGACCTTGACGACCACAGGGGTCTCAGCTCTGTTGACACCTCCATGACCACAAAGGGTCTCAGCTTTGTTGACGCCTCGACGACCACAGAGGGTCTCAGCTCTGTCGACACCTTGACGACCACAGAGGGTCTCAGCTCTGATGCCTCCAGTGGGTTCCACACCTCCAGTGGGTTCCATGCCTCCAGTGGGTTCCACGCCTCCAACGGGTTCTGCACCTCCAGTGGGTTCTGTGTCCCCGGAGGGTCCCACGTCAGCTGCATCGTCTGAGGTCTCCATGTCTCCTGTTGAGGTTTTCACGTCCTCGAGGGGTTCATTGTCTCATCCAGGGTCTTCATCTTATCCAGGGTCGTTGTCTTAACCTGTGGTCCCTGCTTCTCTTGGAGTCTCTAAGAAGAGTCCAAGCTAGCCCCTACCAACAAAGAGTCCGAGCCAGCCCCTGCCGATGAAGAGTCCGAGCCAACCCCTGCCAATACTTACGGAGGTCTCTGTGCCGTCTTCAGCACCTGGGGTTTCTTCCCCTCGTCCAGGTTCCTCACCTCAGGTCCACACCTCGCCTCAGGTCCACGCCTCACCTTGGGTCCATGCCTCGCCTAAGTTCCATGCTTCACCTGGGTTCCACGCTTCGCCTAGGTTTCACACTTGAACTGGGTTCCACGCTCCACCTTGGTCCCTGACCTCACCTTGGTCCCTCTCCTTGCTTTGGTCCTACGCCTCACCTTGGTCCCAAGCCTCACCTTGGTCCCACGCCTCGCCTTGGTCCCATGCCTCGTCTTGGTTCTCCACCTTGCCCAGGCTCCTCGCCTTGTCCCAGTTCCTCGCCTGACTTACCCCAGGGTTTTTGGACAAGGTCTGCCTTGGGACGGTCGCATTCTTTTTGTTTTGTTCCTAGTGTGTGTTTCCTGTCCTGGTCCCCCTCATGTGTTTTCTTGTGCCCTCTGGCCTTTTCTCCCCCTCCTCCCACCCAAGTCTCTGTGGGGAGGGCTTTAGGATGTCTGGAGACACCCTTTGGGGGTGGGGGGACTGTAGGGGTTGTGGTTTTTTCCTTAGGTGTCGTGTTTATGTCCTGCGTCTTCAGTCTCTGTCTCCTGGCATCTGTGACACAGGTGCCTTCACTTTAGCCCCTTATCCACAGGTCCGGTTCCTGTAGGACCCTATTGGAGCTTATTTAGGCCGGTTTCGGTGGGACTGGTTTATTTCTGTCTCCACAGTGCCCATAGTTCCCCTTTAGTGGGCGTATAGTTAACCTTTAGTGGGCGGATCATTAATGAAATGAGAAATTGCAAATGGCGGATCTGTGTTTTGAAAAGTTTCTGAAAGATCCAGTGACTCCTCCCCCTGACCAATCAGTGACCGACAGTGCGCTGACGTCACATCTGGACCCAACAAGAACCAGACCTGGGACCCCAGAGAAGTAAGTCCCAAAAATCGTGCGGGTTCCACCGCTGAAGGCGCTGTGGAGACACTACGCAATCGGCCCTAACTAGTTACATAGGAGCACCAAAAGGCCCTGTGGATAAGGGGCTTTTGTCTGATTGGTGTTTTCCTCTATATAAGTCTGTCTCTGTGTTAGTCTTTGTCCTGGCATTGTCTACTGCTCACCGTTGATGACCTGTCTGTTTTGTAAGTACTACCTGTCCATTCTTGTTTGATTTTACTGCCCTGTCAGCTCTTTTTTTTTAATAAATCCTTTATTTTTATATATATATATATATATATATACTGAGCCCTCGCCTGCTTGCCTGCACAACTGGGTTCACCAGCACCAATCGTGACAGTCCTTACTTCTGTTGAAGTCACACTGAGGAACTCCTCTTACGGTGGTGAAGTGAGTCTTGCGCTGGGTAGTCTATTTGGGTTCAATGCCCACTTCAAAGTAGGCATTGAACATGTTAAGAGCATCAGGCAATGATGGGTTCCTAGAGTATTGTGCACCCCTGCTTTTATAGTCTGTTATGCACTTAATGCCCATCCACATGCTCCGTGGTTCTTATAAGGAGAAATGTCCTTGGCTCTTCCATGTGTATGATGCTTTGGCCCTCTTAATACCAGCAGCCAGCTCTTTCCTTGGCCTCCCCAGTTCCTGTGAGTCGCCAGACCTGAAGGCAGTATCTCTGGCTTTCAGCAGGGTACGGTCCTCTGTGTTCAGCCAGGGTTTCTGGTTCGGGTAGCACTTCACAGTCCTAGTGGCGTTTACATCTTCATAACACTTGCTGATAACACTTTACGCTTGCTAACACTAGCTCCCACAGTGGTGGCAGCATCATGCTTTGTGAGGGGTTTTCATCAGCAGGGACTGGGAAACTTGTCAAAGTAAAAATGAATCAAGCAAAGACAATTTCTTCTGAGGAATTTTTTTGCTTCTTCAAAATGATAGTTAAGTCGTGTAAATACAATATGCAGTGCCCTCCCAAAAGAATTCAATCTACTTCTCAGGATTTAATGTAACAAAATGAGTAGAATGCAGAGGGAGAATAGTTAACGCAACCCACCACAGTTTTTGTTGCGACAAAGAAATATTTTATGAATATATTAACAAAACTATTCACATTTGTGTTTCTGCACTACCACAAATCAGACCTCTTTTTCTGCAGTGCGTCCCTGAAAAATCTTAATTTGAAGGGGTACAGTACCAAACATGGATCTGTTATCAAATAGTAAAGTAAATGTGAGGGAACTGAGATAATTACATGTAGCTCTGAAAAATTTCAGGAAGAAAAAAGTTTGCAGTGTTTAGTCAATAGGGTTCTATTTTTGTTGTTGTTGCATCTGTTTTATTGACTGTGCCTTATGTGTTAGATATTGTCTATATTAAAACACACATGGATGAAAGCAATTTTTATATTTTTGAAAAGAATTGTTCATTGAACATGGTTGGGATCAACAGATCATTTTTAAAGTGATTTTCTTTCAAATAGGTGTCAGTAGTTGGTACCTTATCAGCAGTGGCATGAGTCATATAGTGCAAAATGTGGATAAAAGGGTGTAAGTCTTTGTCTAGACTAGGCTAAAGGGTTGCTAGTCAAGGGGTCATTATATTTTGTATTGTTTTTTAGGCCTATAAAATAATTTATTATTCAAAAATTTCATCCTTGTGTGAAAGAATGCTACCTTAGCTTAAATTCAACCTCTGCACATTCATTATTCATTTTTACAGCAAATCCTGGGTGAACGTATACTGTGTGCTGAAAGATGGAATGATGACTTTCTACAAAGATGCTAGGAACCACACCACAACATACAATGGAGAGCCCACTGTTGACCTCAGTAACTGCTCATTTGATCCTTCAGTGGGGTACAAGAAGAAGAAAAATGTCTTCATTTTGCAGTAAGAAATATTACCTTGAAGCATATGTACAACTGAATTGTAATTTTGTTGTAATTTTTGCACTTTGTTGTATTTTTTTACAATTGCACTAATTGTACTTTAGAAAATATTTTGGGTTGTGTACAGAAAACGCTAACACACTTTTTTTTATCTTTTGTCAAAGAGTAAACGATGGAACCAATTTAGTCTTTCATGCAAGAGATGAGGTAAGAGCCCTTTTACATACATTTAACATGTCTGATTTGTTCAGAACACACTGTAATGAGGTAATGAAGAACTTGGTCAGTTAACTAACAAAATAAATAACTTATTGCAATTTTTGCAGACTCTGTCAATATGTCCACACAGTGTTATATGATACACTTAATCTGCAAAAAATGTCATCACCTTAGCGTGGTGGAGGAGTTTGTGTGCCTAAATGATCCTAGGAGCTATGCTGTCGGGGGCAATTATAATTGCCCCTGGTAGGGTCTCCCAAGGCAAAGAGTGATTCCAAAGACGTTTGATGAACAACATAAATCAAGGAAATCAGTGTCCCTTGCCCAGACGTGGGTTACTGGGGCCCTACCCTGGAGCCAGGCCTGGGGGAGGGGCTCATCGGCGAGCGCCTAAAACAGGGTCTCCACCCATGGGGCCTGGTCAGGCTTAGCCCAAAGGAGCAACATGAGTTTGCCTTCCTGTGGACCCACCACCTTCAGGAGGGGCTATAAAAGTCGGGTGCATGATGCTATGGGCAGTGGCCAAAGGTGGGGACCTTGGCACTCTGACCCTTGAGCTTGTGCGCGAGATTGAGAGGTACTGACTAGCTATAGTTGGACTCAGCTCAACGTACAGCATGAGCTCTGGAACCTATCTCCTTGAAAGGGGCTGGACCTTATTCCACTCTGGAGTTGCCCATGGTGAGAAGTGTCGAGCTGGTGTGGGCTGATAGTAGCCCCCCAACTTGGTGCCTGTGTGTTAGAGTTTTTCCTAGTAGATGAGAGGGTAGCGTCTCTGCACTTTCAGGTAGGTGGATGGGCTTTGACTGTCATTTGTGCCTATGTGCCAAATGACAGTTCAGAGTATCCAGCCTTCTTGGAGTCCTTGGCAGGGGTACTGGAAGATGTGGCAGATGGGGACTTGTTTATTCTGCTGGGGGACTTCAATGCCCATGTGGGAAATGACAGTGTGACCTGGAGGGACGTGATTGGGAGGAACAGCCTCTCTGGTCTGAACTCAATTCAATTCAATTCCATTCAAAATACTTTATTAATCCCAAAGGGAACTCGTTATCCTCATTTCAATAAGAGATGTTATAGATGCTGATGCTGTAGACAAGAAGGATCTTTTGTAAAGGTCCATCCCACAGTAGATCCTAAGAAACTGGCTGCAGATGCCGTCCGATCCGTCCACCCAGACTCGGTTGGCCTCTCTGTTACCTCGGGCTGTAGGACCGCCCGAATGCCGGGCAGAACTCCTCCCAGAGAGATGGTCACTCCTCCCAGCAGTCTGCCGAGCTCCTCGTCGCTGCGGACAGCGAACTGTAGGTGCTGAGGGACGATCCTGTGCTTCTGCTGTCATGAGCCGTGTTTCCTGCTAGTTGCAGGATCTCAGTGGTCAGGCACTCGAGTGCAGCTGGCAGGTAGATGAGAATGCGTCCACAGAACATCCTTTCAACTATCCTGATGCATGCTCAATAATCCAGGTAGAAAAATCAAAAAAAGTTAAATCTGGTCCTCTGGACATTCAAAAAAAAACCAAAGCAAATCAACAAAAAAATGTAGAAACGTTTCGTCTCTCATCCGAGAGACTTCCTCAGTCTGAGGAGCTGTATTCAGCTCAGTCTCTTAAATAGCACCGTCTCAGAGTGGATCAACCAGTTTTGCTGCTGACAACCAAAACCAGCTGATCACATGCTCAAGAAGGACCATCAGCCTAACAATGGATCATTAGCACCTGATGGCTGTTTACTGTTCACAGAGGGCTGAGTGATACTAGCAATCACAGCATTGTAAGAGGGGGACAATTGAACCCGGAGGCCTCCACCCCTGTTTAACGATGGACAATTTCTTTTCACAAAGATGGCCTCCTTTACTCCTCTCTCAAACCATCGTTCCTCTCTGTCCAGGATGTGAACATCTTCATCCCTGAAAGAGTGACCGCTGGCCTGGAGATGAGTGTAGACCGCAGAGTCCTGGCCTGATGATGTTGATCTTCTGTGCTGGGCCATCCTTTTGGCCAGTGGCTGTTTTGTTTCCCCGATGTAAGACTGATCACAGCCCTCCTGACACTGAACAGCATACACAACATTACTCTGTTTGTGCCGGGGGACTGGATCTTTGGGATGAACCAGTCTTTAATGTATTTTGGGGTTTAAAAGCCACTGGGACGTTATGTTTAGAAAATAAACGTCTCAGTTTCTCTGATACTCCCTCAACATATGGAATGACCACTGGTCTGGGTCTGGGTTCCTCCTTTTCACCTGTTGGCTGACTGGAGTCCTGTTTGGGTTTCTTCTCTGCTTTCAGGAAGGCCCAGTTAGGATATCCAAATTGCTCTAGAGCCTGTCTTGTGTGGGATTTCTCCTTCTGCCTGGCTCCTGAGCTAGTGGGGACGCTGTCTGCTCTGTGATGCAGAGTCCTGATGACTCCTAACTTGTGCTCCAAAGGGTGATGGGAGTCAAACTGCAAATACTGGTCTGTGTGGGTGGGTTTGCGGTACACCTCAGTTTGCAAATGTCCTCTATCAGAGACTGAGACCTCACAGTCCAAGAAAGCCAACCTGCCATTTTTTACATCTTCTCGTGTGAACTTGATGTATTTATCCACAGAGTTGATGTGGTCAGTAAAATGTTGGACTTCCTGAGATTTGATTTTGACGACACCTGGGTTATAGAGATATTATTTGTGTAGGTGTTGTGCTTTCCCTGGTCTCTGTCTCCCTCTAGTGTTCTATATTTGTCTGCTTCCCCTCTGATGTTTGCGCCTCTGATGTTTCACAGTTGTTCTGTGTTAGTCTCGTTAGTGTGTGTGTGTATTTAAGTCTGTTTGCCTGCGTCCGTCATTGTCTGGTCATTGTCTGGTCATTGTCTGGTCATTGTGTCACTGCGATGACTGTCATGCTCCTCGTGTCCTGCTCCTCATATCCTGTGTCCTGTCCCATGATTTATGTAAGTCTGCTGCTCCGTCAGCCATCTTTATTTTGTAAATAATAAATTATTCATTTATATTCCCTGAGTCCTGCTTGCCTGCCTGCACCAATTGGGTCTCCTACCTAGAAATCAGTGGATCCTAAGAAACTGGCTGCAGATGCCGTCCGAGGCGTCCATCAAGACTTGACTGGCCTCTCGGTTCCCCCGGGCTGTAGGACCACCCGAATGCCGGGCAGAACTTCTCCCAGAGCAATGGTCACTTCTCCCAATAGCCTGCCTAGCTCCTCATCGCTGCAGCCAGCCAGTTGTAGGTGCCGAGGGACAATCCTGTCCTTCCGCTGTCATTAGCTGTGTTTCCTGCTAGTTCCAGGATCTCAGTGGTCAGGCACTCGAGCACAGCTGGCAGGTAGATGAGAATGCATCCACAGAACATCCTTTTCACCTCATTTGAGATTTGGGGCTGTAGTTGAGATATTATTTGAGCTTTTGAGATGTTAATCAGCTGCTCCTGATTGTAGAAAACTACCTTGTTGCCATGGTTACGTATCATAACAAATGTCCAAAACCAAAAAAGTTTCAGTAAAAATCCTTCCAGCTGCACAGCATCCGATACCAGAGGAAACAATCATAAAAAAAAAGTGATTTACATGCAGAAAAAGAGGAATTAAATTGATTGATTGATTATTAATTCAAGCAGTGTTCTGTTATTGAACTTCTGTGCTACTCATTGTTTCTCCATCACAGACACCATGTTTGAACATAAGGGAGTCCATAAATGCACTTGGCACCAGGACACCCTAGGTCGTAGATTGATGATCGACTTTGTAGTTGTGTTTGCTGATTTGCAGCCGTTTGTTTTGGACACTTTGTGACGAGATGAGCTGAGTTGTCAACTGATCACCACCTGGTAGTAAGTTGGATCAGATTGAATCGGGGGATTTTGGGATTGGTCTGTCTATAACCATGGCTGAGCTCACTGAGGTATTTAAAGAGCTCTGCGGCGGCAGGGCTCTGGGAGTAGATGAGATTCATCCTGATTTCCTTAAGGCTCTGGATGTTGTGGGGCTGTCTTGGTTGACACTTTGCAACATTGTGTGGATATCAGGGGCAGTGCCACTGGATTAGCAGACTGGGGGGTGGGGGGGGGGTTCCCCCCTTCAAAAAAAGGGGACTGGGGGGTGTGCTCCAATTATAGGGGCATCACTTTCCTTAGCCTCCTTGATAAGGTCTATTCAGGGGTACTGGTTAAACGAGTCTGATCGTTGGTCGAACCTCAGATCCAGGAGGAACAATGCAGGTTCTGTCTTGGCCGTGGAACATTGGATCAGCTCTTTGCCCTCACTAAGGTCCTCGAGAAGTCATGGGAGTTTGCCCATCCAACCTATGTGAGTTTTGTGGATTTGGAGAAGGCATTTGACTGTGTTCTTCAAAACACACTGTGGAGCGTGTTCCGTGAGTATAGGATTAGGGGGCCGTTGCTATGGGCTGTTCGGTTCCTACACAAGCCATGCGAGTTTGGTTTGCATTGTCAGTAGTAAGCCAGACCCCTTCAGGGTGGGAGATGGACTCTGCCAGGGCTGCCCGTCGTCACCGATTCTGTTCATAATGTTTATAGACAGAATTTCTTAGTGCAACAAGGGGGCGTAGGGACTCTGGTTTGGTGGCCTCAGGATTCCTTCTCTGCTATTTGCCATGATGTGGTCCTGCTGGTGTCATCGTGCCATGATCTTCAGCTCACACTGGAGCAGTTCATAGCCGAGTGTGAAGCAGCTGGGATAAGAATCAGCACCTTCATGTCTGAGGTCATGGTCCTGAATCGGAAAAGGGTGGATTGCTCTCTTCAGGTCGAGGGTGAGGTTCTGCCTCAAGTGGAGGAGTTCAAGTATCTTGGGGTTTTGTTCACTAGTGAGGGCAGAATAAAGCGTGAGATCGACAGACATATTGATGGGGTGTCTGCAGAATTGCGGACTTTGTGCCAGTCCATTGTAGTGAAGAAAGAGCTGACATGTAAGGCAAAGTTTTCTGTTTATTGGTCAGTCTATGTTCCTACCCTCACCTATGGTCACAAACTCTGGG